AGCCGGCGCTCCCGTGCCGCCGTCGTCGATCAATCAACTGCTACCACAGCACGAACCATGACGCCTTTGTTTTTTTCTTTTTTTTTCTTTTTTTCTTTTTTTTTTTTTTTTGCTTTTCCAGACTATGGCGAGGTTTGGTGTTTTTGGCGTTTGGAACAAGGCAAAAAAAGCTACTTCGTTCATCATAGACGGATATATGTACATATATACTTTTGTGCCCCCCCTCCCCAAAAAACGCCCGTTCCTACCGGTATACGCAACGGCAACAGATCCCAACGCCAATTAGCAAAGCTAATTTTTATTCATTCATGCCCTCGCTCACGGGGGAAAAATGGGCCACAACATCTCTCACCATACCCGTTCGTCTCCTCCCAGGCTCTCTTCAAGCCAGCCATCGCCTGGGTCCTCGCCCATGTCGCGTGATCGCTCCTTTTCTAGCCTCGACCGTCTCCATGCCTCCCATTTCGCCGTCTGGTCTGGCGGGGCCTTTGTCGGCGACTTAACGAGGCCTCTTTTCCGTAGTCTGCGTCGGTGCTGCCGTCTTTTTGCCGCGCTCAGATGGTCCACTGATATGTTTTCCAATGACCGTCCGTATAGAGCGTCTCCCATGTCTGCCGCCCAGTCTTCAACTTCCTCCAGCAGCCACGCTGCCAGTTTCCGACCGTTTCCTCCCGTCGTCCACTGGTCTATTTTCACAGGAAGTGCATTGCCAAACGTTGGGTCGTCGTAGGAATACACGCACGGCGTAGATGTACACGCTGCGGGTCGGCAGTACTTCCCACACACAGCCGACTCGACCACGTACCAAAGTGAAACAATTGCGACGACGAGGCCCAGCCAGCTAAGACGAAATCGAGGACTGGTATAGAAGAGCCGAGGGATTGGGAAACGAAGATAGGCCAAGCTGGTTGGCTCTGGATTGGCCGTGCACTCTGGACACAACACATCGGGCAAATTCTTTTGGTCCTTTGCCTGTTGGTGTTTCTGACGCTGCAACGGTCCTGGCTCGTTCTCATCTGTGGTTGACCCTTTTTCGGCTTGGGCAACCTGGTCGTAGAGTTTGCCGATGCCAAGCTTAGCAGTATGTATATTGGAGAGTCCCGTGCGGAGATTCTTGCTCATTTTGTCATACAAAGACATTTCGCCCGCTGACATATCCTTGTCTTCTGAATTCTCTCGCTTCAGCTTCTGAATCTCTGCCTCCACAGCTCTCAACTCGTCATCGATTTCGTCTGCTGCCTTGACAGGTAATTCTTCTAGCAGCTCCTTCAGCTTTGGTGATGCATGCTTTCGACCAGTCAATATGTCTTCCAAGTCATCCATGGTTGAGTCTTCAATGTTGTGCTTGCGCTGCAGTTCGCGTAGATCGTCCTTGACCGATGGCGGTTTGGCTGAGTTTCTCACTGATGGTCGACTGCGAGGTAACGATCGTGATCGAGGCTTTTTGCCTGCTGCAGGTGCTGCAGATGCCGCAGCATAATCACCTGCAATTTCCCCTCTTGCACCAGGCTCAGAGGCCGTGTCTTCGTCCTTATTCCGCCACGCGAGACTCGTTTTCTTATCACGAAATAATGTGGTGGCATCTGGCTTTGACGGTGCTTGTCTTTGATCATTCAGTTTCTCTTCCAACGGCTTGATATCCTGCGCTTCCTCCTCCTTGACTTTCCCCATTTTGGCCGTGACAGGTGTTTCAACATAGGCACCCGTGACCCGGGGTGTCTCCATATGCAGAAACTCGTGCTTTTGTGGCTTGGGAGTAGCCTCCGCCACGTCGTCTTTCTCTTCATCACTGTCCGGCACGGGTGACGGCGCTCGTACGGATCCCGGCTCGGAGTAATCGTCACGCGGCGCAAACAGCTTCGCCTCGGCCTCTATCCGAGCAGTTGGATCCGACTCTGAATGCATACTTGATGGTTTGCTCTTGGCTGATTCGGTTGATGGGATGCGTTTTAAGCCAGCAAATTCGACAGTTGGTCGTGAGGATTCACCATCCTTATTGTGAGAGCTGAGGGCTGATTTTCGTCCATTGTTTGTGGAACGTCCCGCCAGTGTCGGTTTTGTCACAACCTTCTCACTTTCGTTTGGCTTCTGGCGCTCTGTGAGAGGAGCACGTTTATTCACTGGTTCGGGTGCCGGACTCGAGCTGGCAGCGCGGGCCAGCCGTCGCAGCAAGTCACGTTCATTAACATCCGGCTTCACTGCAGCGACACCCCTGCCATGCGTAGGCCCCGTTTCCTCAGGGTTGATACTCTCCTGCTTAGGGCGATGGCTCTTAAACACTGTGACTGGGGTGTCTGGAATATGTTCTCCTCCCTCATAGTGAGCTGATCTGGGGCGAGCAGGTGGTCGCATCTCGGGACGATTTTCAATCCGTGGTTTGCCCTTTTCTGGCGACAATGGCCTCGTCATAGCGTTCTTTTCCTTGATTTCCTCTAGTCGGGCCGCGGCAAGGGCGCGTCTTGACAAGCCTTCTGCTTCGCGCAGTCGTATTTCATCCAACCTGGTGTTCTTGGGCCGTGGTTGATTTCGATCAGGTATAGGTATCTGCTTTTCGGCCGCAGTTTCTCTCGCCCGAATCTCTACCAATTTGGTATATCTTCGAGAATGCTGCGGTGTTAAAGTTGATTGTCCTGCGAGGCTGCCCCCTTCAACATTGAGTTCTCGTCCTCGGATTTCGTCCAGCTTGGTATTTTTCGTCCGAGGACTAGTAATCCGCGCAGGCGACCTGATATCAATTCTATCCAATATCGATGGGCGATTCGCAAACGGCTTATTGCTGTTACTCCCTACTTTTATTCGCGGGCTATCAGACACCTGCAAATCTCCAGCCGTAAAATCATGGTCCACCTGCCATGTAAAATCTTTTGATGCAGACGAGATTGCACCATTGCGACCCGGGGATTCGACGGATTGGAAGGGAACATCTTCGATTCCGGGCACCAATTCAGGAAGGTGCGCCTCGCCACTGGCATCTCCCAGGGATTCCGGAGACTTCTCAGCCCAGTCGGAGCTCGGTCGCGACTTTGTTCTCCATTCGTTTATGCGGTCCTGTAAGCTGGGGCCGTTGCCTCTCTTAGATATGTCTGTTCCCAGCTCCGTAGCTTGCGGTTTCGCGTTAAGTGACTGCACACCCGACGCCCCGGCTTCTGTATATTGTCGTGCTCGTGCTCTGCTGTGCAAAGGATCTTCGGCCATCATTTCTCGCGCTTGAGTCTCGTCCGGGGGCTGTCCGGGCCGCGCTCGCCATTCTCGTGGCGCTGGACTCGGCGAGCCCCCTTGTTGTCGCTCTTGCTCAGCCTCCTCCTCCTCCTCTTGGGCTAGCTTAAAAGCTTCCGCCAACGAAATCGGCCGCCGATGCTGAAGCCCTGAGATGTTGGGTCGGGGTATTCGGCTGCCTCCCGGAGAGAGTATGCTGGCGGTGCTAGCATTCGGATCGACGTGTTCTTGAGCTTTTCTGATGCCGGACGCCATGCTCTGCGGATCTGATTTTGCTCGCCGCGCGGGCCCAGCATGACCTACTGTCCCAAGAGCTCCGGGCCTTGCACCAGGGCCGACCGAAGCGGATGTGGATTGAGGGCCATTGCCCGTGTTTCGCGGGGCATTGTTGGAGAACAGCGGCCTCCTGGTCTCGTGGTTTACATGTAGTTGATTCGGCTGCGCTCGTCCATTCGGCCGTGATGGCGCCGTGTCGCCGCCACGGTCCATGAGCAAGTGTGATGCGTGAGTCCGTCTGCGGCCCGCGGGCTTGGATGCGATGTGCTCAGTGACGCGCGCCTCAAGCAGCGGCAGCACGCGGTTGCATATTTGTCGTGGGCGCTGGGTGAGTGCTACTACGTGTTGATAGCGTTGGGAGTCGCGATTGTCGGCATAGCATTGGACGCAGTGGCTCGTGGTAATTGATCGGTATGGCGCTACGACTTGGGACGCGATCAGGTGTGTGTGCCGTTGCAGCTTCGGATGTGCGTACGGAGTATTTGCAACAACAATAGCTTTAGCCAATGACTGGCGATAACAGCGTTGAGTGCCGTAGGTGCGTTTACGTGAAGCGCCACAATAGTGAGGTTGAAGGGTCAGTCAATCAAGCTGTGTTATTGTCGAGCGGCGAATGTAGGCCGCGTTGCCTTTGTTTGGATTGCCGACGACGATGGGATGGTTCAGTCTGCAAGTCTCTATATGTGGCCCAGTCCGGTGGCGCGTGTTTTTGGCCATGGGTCGCTCGCAGACAAGGCTCGAGCTCGAGCTTGAGTTACCAAGTGCCTCATGTGCCTCATGTCTCACGACCTATCGCTCCTTCCATTGCCGCGACTTAACCGGCAGTGCGCAGCAGAAATACAGCAAGTAGGTACCTAGGTATACAGTACTGGATCAAGAGGGCTACTTACCAAGTAAATCGAGGTACTGAGTACGTTTAGCCAGGCACCCAGAGCAGACATTATATCTGCGAGTTGTCAAATGCAGACTCGGCAATACCAACCAACTTTCATCATTCTTCACTCACCATATCCTGAGACGCTGCTCATCGTCACAGTGGCGCCGCCACAGCTCTACTCATTGGGTACCCACCGGCCACCAATTTGCATATGCTTAACGAAGGCGTCTTGCCATCAAGATTGTTCATCGTGATTGTTCTCGGACTCTCCATGGCTTTAGATGCGCGTACTCTTGTTTCCCGTCGAGACTTGCAGAATCGGCCTGTAATGAATAAACTCGGAGTTGTTCATTAAAGCTACGGAAAATCCAATCATCTTATAAATATAGGGGTACCAGTCCCGCTCTCCGTGGACCTGGTCTGTGTTGGGTGTAGGCAGATTCGCACGGGCGTAGTTTAATGTCAATGGCAAACATCACCGCTCAGGCTCTTCGTCCCTCACGCTCACACATCTCCTACTACCTCTGGGCATCATGGGAAGCCAGGCTGAGAGTCCAATGGCCCTGCGCCGACTCGGACCAATGTGAGCGTGACTACTCCATTCCATTTCACCTTCACAACTCATCACCCCCTTTTATTGGCAACATGTGTCGTACTGACTTTGTAACAGCGAGCTGTTTTCTTCTGCCCGCCACTACATGCGCTTATACCTCAGCGTAACAGTAACATGTCGCTACAACGCACCCACGTCTGGTCAGGGCATCGACGAGGCGCTGCTATATCCCGCCCTGGCAAGAGTCGTTTCTGCACAGCCCATGCTCAGGGTTGGCATCCTCGGGGAAGATACCAGCAAGGCGGCCTTTTGCCACATCAAATCCGTTAACCTGGCCAACCACGTCTCTTTCAAGACCTTGGATGCCTGCGGGACGGTAGACCAGTACAACGACCATATTGCGGCCCAGCAAGGCTGGCACCACAGCCAGACCTGGTTGAACATCCAAGACGTTCCCCCATGGCGAATAGCCGTCGTCAAACCAAGCCCAGCCGCCGCAGGGGAACTATCCGGCGTCCAAGATATCATCTTCTCCTTCCACCACGCCCTGCTAGATGGCAACAGCGGAAAGCTTTTTCACGAGAACCTCCTCAGGGAGCTCAACCACCAACTCGGACAAGAGGCAGCAAACTCCACCACGACGTCTTCACTCCGGTTCCCCGATGCCCCCCAACTCCCGGAAGCCCAAGACCAAATCATCGCCTTCCAAAACTCACCCCTGTACCTCGTCAAAACCCTCTGGGACGAGCTCGGCCCCTCCGTACTCCGCGCCAAAAAACACGTCCCCTGGCACAGCAAACCCAGCGGCTTCTCCATCCCCTACGTCACCCTCACCAAGGCCGTCGACTTCCAGGGTCCCGTCGTCGCAAAGCTCCTCGCGGTGTGCAGGCAACACGGCACCACCATCACGGGCCTCTTCCACGCCCTCGCAGCAGCCTCCTTTGCCTCGCGCCTCCCCGCAAGCGAAGCGCCCTTCTTTGCGGCCACCACTCCCATCAGTCTGCGGCCGTTCTTGGGACCAGCCGCCAACCCAGAGTTCAAACAGTCACTCCGCGTCCTGGTCTCCTCACACGAGCACGAATTCCCCGCCCCTCTCGTCGCCCACCTGCGCGGCTCCAAAGACACCGACCAAAGTATCTGGGAAATCGCGCAGCGGGTCAAGAACGAACTCAATAGAAAGGTGGCCAGCATGCCCAGAGACGACATCAACGGCCTGATGAAGTACAACTCTGACTGGATCGGCTTCTTCAAGAAGAAGGACGGCCAGCCGCGCCCCGACTCCTGGGAGGTCAGCAACATTGGCGTCTTTAAGAATGCCTCCGAGGAGACCGGGTTCGCAGTGTCGAGGGTGTACTTTACCAACGGGGCCATGGTGACGGGCTCGCCCGTGGCGCTGGGACTGGGCAGCGTGGCCGGGGGCTTGTTGAGCGTCGGCATCTCGTGGCAGGAGAGCGTGGTTGGTCAGGAGTTTGTGGATGGGTTGGCGGGTGATTTGACAGAGTTTGTGACGAGGTTTGATGAGACGGGCAAGTTTGGGCCCCAACATTAGCTGTGTTTGGGACGGATAGGGTATGAATCTCTCTGGCGTCCCCCCGGTGGGGGGGGGGGGGGGGGAAAGGGGAAAGTGTG